ATATTGAGTGTAACTTTATGCGAATCGTGATATGTTTTCGATATCTGGAATGCCGTGATAAGCGCGAGAGTGAAGCGTTGACATTCGAGCATGACCTTATCGGAATATAAACATGCTGTATATGATGCACGATAGGTTCAAAGCTACTGCTGGAAATTTACTGGAAACAAATAGAACAAGTGATACCTATACTCCCATTTTTAAGCTCCACTGCGTCGACGATGCCTTATCGAGCATATAGGGGATATATTTCTGTAACTATCAGATAGCAAGGGATAGTATCACACTTAGCGTGTGAGCAGCTGTTTATTTCTACTTCACTTGAGAAATATGTTACCCCTGTTTCCTGCCTATGTCAAACCTACCTTTTCTTTGCAAGGTCCTTAGCCTAGGCCCGAGCAGAACAAATCGCCAAGACGGAGCAGCGGCTAAATCCAGCCTAGTAGTAGAGTTGGCAGCGCCAACAGCTAAGGCAAAACATAGTCGTAGTCCCGTTGAGTTCTTTTTCAACTGTTTTCCGCGAACTCATCAACAGAGTCAGTCGCTCACCGCGTTTTAAGTCCGTTAGTTCGGATGAGTGTGTCCTTTGCGAAATAGGTTTGTTGCGTGGAAGGCGTTCGGTCGTCCCTGCTTTTTTGCGGTTTTTGAGATGATATTTCAACTCAGACAACTCAGAGCACACTCAAGCTGCCGGTGGATCGGATGAAGGAAAAGGAAGCTCATCTTGGATTCATTTAGGCGAACGAAAAGTCATAACATTACCACGACCACGGCGGAGGCCGACTGTGCGAGTAGTAGCGCTACGCCACATTGCTACAGCCCGCACAGCGCACTGTGCCCCATCATGGCGACCTCTTCACCGCTGTGCAATACGATTCTCTACCCTGTCATTACCCCACTATCTTCAGGCCACATTACCCCTCCCCTCTTTTGTTGCTTCTGTAGATACACGCTATACTGGTCGCGTTTTCTGTGAGCCCGCACGCGTCTGAGTCGACAAAGTCTGAGTAGTATAATCATAATCATAATAAT